TTGACGTCATCTGTGCCAGAGTGCTTAAACTATATGTATATATATTTTTTCGTAACATTTGGTGTTATATTCAATGTAATTATTTCAATTATTCACAATTTTCTTCCTTGTGTTAAGTGTAGTGCTCGCGCAAGTGTTATTCCATGTCTCGCGCTTCTTAAAATTGTACGTTAACTTTTTCGAAATTTTGAATTGTATCACGTTTTAACTTATACGCCGAACTTGTGAACGAATTCACAACTGAAGATGATCGTTGAACGATCGAAACATGTCTTGTTTTAAACTTAAAGTTGTTGTNGAAATTTTGAATTGTATCACGTTTTAACTTATACGCCGAACTTGTGAACGAATTCACAACTGAAGATGATCGTTGAACGATCGAAACATGTCTTGTTTTAAACTTAAAGTTGTTGTCCATTTCTTAAAAATTGTTACTTGCCTGCTATTAACATAGTCTTAAAATAACGAAAACCTCTTAACACGGATGGTCTTTAACGCGCCTTATCTCGAAAACGGGCACGGTGACCCCCCTATTTTTGGGGCTTTTTGGCAAAAGTTGATCTTTACCCTGTTTTATGGTAAGCTTTTACAAAATCTGTTCGAGGGAACATTTTGTGTCCTTAAAAACGACAGCACACGGGCTTGTACGCGAGCAGTAACGAACTTGTTTACATTGGTAGCTATCATGGATTCAAGGTGGAGAAGCCACCGAAAAATTAGTATTAAAAAAGAAAAACAGATCGGTGTAAGAAAAGTTTCTTAGTAGTATTTTGGCTGCGTCAACAACAACAAAGACAAAACCTCGTCTGGGAAAACTCCCAAAGTCTCTAGTAAACACTAGGTACACCTGAGATCCATATATGTTTACAAAACTTACGATTTTCCAAAACAGAGCAGTGAAGTTCAGCAATGAGGAAACTGATCACCACGCAAATGAGAATCTGTCTTGTAGTAGGTTCCATTTTTAGAGAAATTTTGAATCCGTAAACCCTTTCACACAGTCCACGAAAGTATTGCCATTACCGTACCGAAAAATGTGCGAAATTAACTTACATGCTTTACGTCATAATTAATGAATTATTTACGTCAATCTAACCAATCACAGCGCGCATTTCCTGTTAGGATCGCGTGTTGAGAAAGAACTGGCACCAA